GACTTACTAAGCATTATTGCTTATGAGACTTCTATTTTCTTGTATTCTCATGTATAGGTACGGAAGCCTGAGAGAATGTATGGAGCCGGTGACAAGGTTTTGGATGGGTTAACGGAGAAGACCGGACTATGAGTTATGTTGTGGTTTTAGTACGTTGGTACTTCAAAGGTTTGTTAAACGTTTTTCAAATCCTCATCAGGTGTAATGGTTTTACAGATGTTTTATTTTGGATGCGTTTTGTTATGGTTGTAAGGTTTGATTTTGTTCTAAAAGAAATAAAGTTTCATATCGAGGCTTTGTATCTTTATTTCCGCTTGATTTATCGAGTCTCTTTTATGTTTGAGTATCGTAATGGCCGTTTTGGGGACGGTCGTTACAACACTGCCCCGGGCTTTATACTAGTAATTGCATTATGTTTTTCGTTTTGCATATTTAGTTTTGTTTCTTCATTTGATTCAATCTGTTTTCACGTTTTACACATAATTAAGTAACCAAATAATGTGTTCTAGTTGTGTACATAGTATTTTATAAAATAAATAATGAAAGAAAAAAAAAACTCCCCAATCATTGTATCCCTACTCACAAATCAGGTTGTTTTGTATGAAACGACTAATTGTATATAGCTATTTTTAGAATTTATAAAGACTCTCATAACTTTTAGTTTATCGATAGTAATACAAAAAGTCATTCTCTTATACTAGTACGGTATCTTACTATATACAAAAGGAAGATGAAAAAATGAACAATACTCCCGCTCAAAACTATCACAATCAAACTACAGTAACTACAATAATAAAGAAAATGAAAAACAACCATCTCAAAATGCCGTTTTTTGAGGTGTGCTGATGCAAAACAGGTCATCGGGAATCAAGGACTGGAACCTGTGGGTTCCTATAGCGGTTGCAAGACCTGGGAGAGGCCGTCCCTCATCGCAAGATCTGGAGCTCACACCGACCAGCGCCGCCGAACTATGGAGATTGCATCTCTGACCTGAGAGGCTGTCACCACTTGGGAGTTTTGCCATGGATCCGTGCGGTAGGCAGGCCTGGAGCTCGCCGGCCTATTCCTACCTCATGCAGACATGGGAGATGGCCCATCCGACCTGCGTGGATTGTCTGCCCATTAGGTAACTTGGTTCGGTTGACATGGAGAAGAAAATTCCCCCGAGGTAGGGTGTCCTAGTTTCTCCACAATCGGTGTCCTAGTTTCCGATTGGGAAAAGTTAAGCTCGGACCCCATTACCCTCACACTTGGAGATTTATCCGGTGTTTCACGTGAGCTTGCTTAAGCCCTACAAAGAAGACAAGGAGGATCCGAGTAGGGGCATTTCGAAGAGAGCACCGACAGCTATAACGAAAATTCCACCGAGGTAGGGTGTCCTAGTTTCTCCACAATCGTGTTACAGCTGGTGGGAAAGGAGCTTCACCAGCACCAAGTCTCCTTCCTCAAACTCCAAGTCTCTCCTCTTAGCATCATCCCACTTCTTCATCTTTTTCGAGGCCTTAGCTAAGTATGCCCTCGCCATGTCGGTCTTCTCATGCCATCCCTTGGCAAATTTGAACGCGGATGGACTCGGACCTCGATATCCTACGGCCAAAGAGTGTGGAGTAGCCGGCTGCTGCCCCGTGGCAATCTCGAACGGACTTGCCCCCGTCGACTCACTCCTTTGCAAATTATATGAGAATTGAGCTATGTCGAGCAACTTTGCCCAATCCCGCTGGTTTGCACTCACGTAATGCCTTAAGTACAGCTCCAACAAGGCATTAAGTGATTACCGAAGCCTTAGTCGTTGTTATTATTCATCTTAAACTCAAAGTAGTTAACGATTATCCTTGTAAACAAAAAGTGAAAAAACCAAAAGTATAAAGATCGAGCTTAGTTATAAAATAAATTATCTTTTTTCTTTAAATTATTGTACCTTTTTTATTTGTATTTTAATTCTTAGAAAAAATATATCAAAATTCACAACATTTTACGATCTTTAATATGACATCAATATTGCATATGTAAAGTTTAAAAATTAAATTTGAAGTTTGAACTTTAAGAGTTTTTAGATAAGTTTTTAAAAAAGATTCAAATGCTAAAATTAAGATCTCATTGTTAAAATACTTTTTCTTACAACGGCACGTTGATTTTAGCATTTAGATCTATTTAAGAAAAATTTTGGATCTGAAAAACCTCTACCAGTTGCAATTTTTATTAAAAAAAATATACATATGCATTACTGGTGTCATATGAAAGATCATAACAAATTATGAATTTGGATATATTTTTTGTAAAAATGGGAGTACAAATAAAAAAGTTACATCACATAATAGAAAATTGAGGTTTTCAGATTCAAAACTTTTTTTAAATAGATTACAATGCTAAAATTAAAACCTCATTTTTAAAATAATTGAAACATGTAGAAAAGTTATTATAAAAATGAGATCTTAATTTTATCACTTGGATATATTTAAGAAAAACTTTGGGATTGAAAACTTTCTACTGTTAAAACTTCAAAAAATCAATTAAATTTTATATAGGTAATATTGGTGTCATTAGAAAGATATCAAAAAGTTATAAATTTTGATATATTTTTGTAAAAATTGGAGTACAAACAAAAAAATTACATCACTTACAAGAAGAAAGGGATTTTAGGTTAACCTTGCCCCCTCACCCTGCTACCCAATATGTCCCTCCCTCCCATCATTCTATTTGGAATTGGAAATGCCCTTTCCCATCATATCCTCCTTTTTTTGAAACTTGAGAAAAGTCTCGTTATTTTATAATGGATGTTATGTTTTCCCGTATTTTTAGAAAACACTCAACAAGGACCATAGCAGCACTAAGGGAGTGTTTGCAAAAAATAAAATAAATTTTTTTTTTCCAGCTTTTAGCTTTAAAAAAATTGAAATTTGTGTTTTCAAGTATCAACTTTTGCCTAAATTAAGTACTTAAAAGATAAAAGATGAAAGCAGGTTGAGAGCTGCTTTAAATTGATCTTCATGTTATCTACTATTATTACACAAAAAGCACTTGGTTTATCAAAAACTACAAACTTTTACTTTTTCAGAAACACTCTTTTCTCAAACACTTCCAACTTTACAATTAAGCACTTTTTCCAAAATAACTTTTAAAATCACTTTTTTAAAGTAGGAGCAATCGCAAACACTCATTAAGTTACCTTCCTTCGGTGTCTGCTTTCTTTCCAGGAGAGAAAAATAGATTAAAAACAAAACAGAAAAAAGGTTTTAATAATAGAAAAACATACTCCCTCCGGTCCTTATTAAACTTTACAGTTTGACTTCACACATATTAAAGAAATAAATTTGACTTTACTGTAGAGTAGACTATTTGACACTGTTCGACACTGTTTGACACTGTTTTGCACTGTTTGGTGTAATTTGTTTGCCAAATAAGGCAAATAAGAAAGTGTAAAGTTTAATATAGGACGGCCAAAAAAGGAAAGTGTAAAATTAATTAAGGACAGGAGGGAGTATAAAGATAAAGAGATATTACCCGAAATAGGAACAAAACAGTTTGAAAATTCCAAAATAGGACTGCCATGTTTTTATTCTCAAAATAGGACTAATTATTGTCATGTTTTGGCAGTACCAGACTTCAATCATTGAAGTATTTTCTAAACATAGCAATAATTAGTTCTATTTTGGTAATAAAAAACATGACAGTCCTATTTTGGAATTTTGAAACTATTTTAGTCCTATTTCAGGAACTTTCCCAAAGATAAGCTACTAATCTTCTGTTCAACTGCATGTTGGAAAGCCCCCAAATCAGGATTCCCAAATTTGGAGTCCCAAATCGGGAATTTAGTTTTGGATTCCCAAAAATGATACTACGTTTTACATATGAAATTAAATACTCCGTAGTTGTTACTTAATAATGTACTCCCTCCGTCCCATTGAACTTTACCAACTTTCTTTTTTCGGTTGTTCCAAATAAATTGTCACTTTCCTATTAAAGCAAATAATTTGTGGTTCTACACATTTCTTTCTCTTCTGCACAAAATCTCAACCATACAATTTTTACTATTTTTATTTTTCACCTACTTTGCACTTGACAAAGTCCACCGGGACGAAGGTAGTATCATAGTTGCGTTGTCACATTTATAAATTGTCTATAACTTTAGCTTTATCGAACTATTGCACTCTTATTTTAATATTATTAAAATTATTCTAGAAAATATCATACCGTGCATCGCACGGATGATATATACTCCATCCGCCCCCCAATTAAGTTCCCGGTTTAACTTCACACATATTAACAAAATAAATTTGACTTTACTGTGGAGTGCACTGTTTTGCACTGTTTGGACACTGTTTTGCATTGTTTGGACATTGTTATGCACTGTTTGACACTATTTTGATGTAGATAATTTGCCCATTAAGGAAAGTAAGAAAGTGTGAACTTAATTTAGGGACTGCCCAAAAAGGAAAGTGGTAATTTAATTGCGGGACGGAGGGAGTACTAGTTAAAAGAAAACGGGGAAAAGGCGCAAATAAGCCCGCGTACTAACAAAAAAAGGTCAAATAAGCCCTTATATAGGAAGCTATGTCCGGCCGTCGTTATTTGGGGCGGTTCTCGGTGAAAATTTTTGATGCAATTTTTTGAACATATTATTCATTAAGTCTAGTTTAGTCATATCAAATTTCAACTAAAACTTCAATAGGGAAGACATTCAAATGAATTCTTGAAGATAACTGCGCAGTTAAAAGTGTAGTTATCTTCAAGAATTTATTTGAATGCATTCCCAATTGAACTGTTAGCTGAAATGTGGTATGAGTAAACTAGACTTAATGAATAAGATTCTAAAAAACAAATCATCAAAAAATTCCACCGAAAACTCTCCTAAATGGCGACGGCCGAACAGATGCTCATATATAGGAGCTTATTTGATCTTTTTTGTAAAATATGTGGGCTTATTCGCCTCTTTTTCAAAAGAAAAGGTTAAACAAACTCGGATCAATCGTTATTTTCCCATGTTGCCGGTTTTTAAAACACATGCCAAATGAGACTTTTCATCTGTAAGATTTTTCTTTGCACAGTTTGATCCATTGTACGATTTAGTAACTACAGTAATCTGTTAGAAATAAAGAAAATGAAAGGGAAGTTGGTTAGAGGTCTCATCACTTCCGCTCAGCAATTGCTTGCCATTGTTGACACCGTTTCTATAGGGAGCAGTCCCCTGAGATTGTAACGGTAATTCTTTCAGGAATACGAAAATGGCGCTAGGGGAGTCGATGAACGGCGGGATCGCCGCCTTAGGCGGCGGAGACATTGAGGACGGGCATTTGATGGAATTTCTGGAGGCTATCGCACCAGTGGGTCATCCCTCCGGCGTTGTGGCTGAAGCCACGGACGCTTCGGTTGACACTTCCGATGACCAAATTACCCCATTGCTGCCCAAACCGGAGAGGTCTAAGATCAACATCTTTACTATCACGTACCCTAAGAGAGAGTCTAATAAGGTGGGCCATGAAATTGCTATTGTTAGTATAATAACAGTATAAATTGGAAAGGCAATGTCCTCGAATCTTCCATGCTAAAGTTTTCAGTGACGTTTAAATTTCTTGATTTGCTAGCTTAAGATGACTAAATGACTAAAATTTCTATAGCACTACCATACTATCCTGAAAGATTTCACAAGAGTCCTACCTACTGGTTGGGGAGTATTTGATTCACAACATGTTAAACACAAGGGAAGGTTTGGATTTTAAAACTGTTTTCTGGCTAAAAAAACTTAAACTGTCACGTCTTCGACTAACCAGTTAAATAGTAAGCAAACCTCTCTATGCATCCCTTGGCTAGTTTTATATTTATATGATAACATTCCTCTTTGCAATTTTCTGAAAATGAATTTATTATTATTGGTTTTGGACGTTGTAGGAGGAAGTGAAAAGATCAGAATCCGATAGGTCGCCGTTTTTGCAGTTTATATTATGGGCGTGGAGTGGATCAAAGTACTCTGGTCTACTATGTATGGCCTTCTCATCTGTAATCTATTGTATTATGGATGTTGTTTCAGATATTTTTTCAGGTCCGTAAATCTCAATCCCGTAAACATACGAACACACAGATAACCATGACTCTTGTAATTTGTTCAATACCTTTTTAGTTGTTCTCAACCAACATATTTTTCCTCGTATTTCATAACTTTGTTTTTTTACTTTTGATGTTAAATACTTGCAGTTCAATCAATTTCCCTTTTCGAAATGGCGTTCACAAGATGTACATTACTCTTGATTATATCGCTTGTATGGTTGAAGAGAACCAGGCAGCCAATCTTTGGCCTGAAGAACGTCACTACACTTTTGGTTTTAAGAGCCGTGATTGGATATTTATCATTATTGAGTTTCATTTACTGGTAAGAGGCGCAGCTTGGAATATACCTTCCTCCAATAAATAATGCTATATAAAGGGGAGATTTGTTGATGCATTTATGCCATAAATATGCATAGAGTATAAGGTTTACCATTGTGGGACATGATTTCCTAGTGACCATAAGAAAGTCAATTCTTTCAGCATTCAAAGGTTACCATTGTCCCAGGCTGTTGTATTGAGTTTTACGACTCCAATTGTGGCTGCAGTTGGTTCACGGTTCATATTGCATGAAAAGATGAATCTTGCTGAAATTGGAGGTATGTTCATTTGGCTTTATCACTAATCACAAACGGTCATGTAATTTCACACTTATGGTCAAGACACAGTGCATGAACTGAGGCACAATTGCTATGGAATGCATAATTATAACACCATTCATGTCAGATGTATTTGAAAAAAGTTTTACGAGAATACGAGTTGATTCTTATAGGGAATATAGACACCAGAACCTTTCTTAACATGAAAAGTAAAACTATCAAGGACCTGACCTAATGTTTTATATTTTATTTTTTTATTTTTCTGTAACGTCTAAACTTTAAGACAATTTGTCCACATATAAACTAGATATGTCATTTCCTAAAGATTTCCTATCCCTTCATGTTTATATGTGGAATGAGGCACATATAAACTCTAACACCATTCATTTTTATTGAATACCACTAAAGATTTCCTATCCGTTGTATTTCTGGGTAAGTGATGCATTATTGCAAGAACTATAATTGCAGACAACAAGATTCCAGACACTCTACTCAAGATTAAGGTGACGATGATCATCTCTTATGTTCATGAAGTTATATTCTAGAAAAAAATGGTCCTTCGTCATTACATATGTTGAGAAAATCACTTTCAGGAGTATCCTAATTCCAATTCAAATATGGAGTTGGTTGACACCCGAATTACGAATGGCTGTAAAAGCACATTGATGTAATGAAAGCAACAATCACAGAACATCATGAATAATCTATTTCTATTGTGTTTACTGGAATCACATGAAAGTGTAATGAACTCCATATTTGAACTATACAAAATATTTACGAAATTCAGAGACAAAAAGGAACAAATGTATGACCTTGAGTAAAAGTGTAAAACATTGATTTCATATCTTCATACTAATAAGGATCGCTCTTCTTATTGCTCCCTTTTCCATGTTAGCAGGATTGTATGTTGTGATGCCAAAATGCACTTTTGTCTGTCAAGACTCAACAGAGGGGATGGGTTTAAATGGAGTAGAGAGAAAGGAAAATAAACTTATTTGTTGGGTTTATTGGGGCTTGGTAGTGGAAGGGGAAAAGTGGGGGAATAGACTTTCCCTTTTTTGCTTTGCAGGTGGATGTGTGAAAATATAAAATGAAATGACTAGAATAGATCTTTTGGTTTGCAATGGGATCAGGTTTCTAGGTTAGTCTTAGTATTAGGAGAAAAATCAGGGACACTTTTTTCATTTCAATTGCTACGACTTTCTTTCCCTCCAAATCCCTCAATTTCCACGACGCGATGGGATTTCATCCATTCATTTTTCTCCCATGCCTTCCTATGTATTGAAGCAAGCAAGTTCATTCTAATTTAGTCTTTCCCTCCGTTCTCCTCAAACCAAACACAACGTTAGATTTGTTTGTCATCATTGCTTTGCCGGCCTTTGCAGGTCTAGCAAGCAGCTTCTTTGGTGTGCTCTTTCTTTTTCAACCGATGATCAGTTCAGAAGGTACACACATTTTTCAAAAATTTATAACATTCACTCATACTGCTATTATGGACCTCAAACTTGAAAAAAATGCTGCCTTTATTTCCATAAAAGTTGGAATGTATATCTAACCCAAAACCTGAATTGTTTCCATGATATACATGTTGATTTTACATTGTCAATTTTTCAAAGGGACGTGACTATAACAACTATAACTCAACATTGTCTCATGTTAGTTTATATATGTGTAAACAATCTCTGGTCATGAAGGTTTTGAAATTTGATCTGATTATTCCTTGTTTACAAGGTTCTGATATGAAAGGCAACCAACATAAAACTTTGTGATTATGCTTTTTGCATGAGTTTATAGTATTAAACAATTTTGGACAATTAATTGACACTACAAATTCCATTCCACCCGTCCAAAATAGTTGGGAGTAAGGTGGTGGTGATGTGATTATGTGCACATTGTCTTTAAAGAGAAAAAGATTGAATAACATGACATGTTGACCTGTGTATACTTAATTATAGACTTTTTCCAGGAGCTTTGCTAGATATTGGAGAAGCTAATGCTTCATATGTCAATGGATACCATCATTCCTATGCAGTTTTGGTTGGTCTATGTTCATCTATTGCTGGCGGAATCAGCTACTGTCTTATAAGGGCAGGAGCCAAGACAACTGATCAACCAGTGTAAGTTTATGCTACTGTCTTATACCCACACTATGGTCATGTTTTCATTCATCAGAAGTTTTTCATACTTGTAGAGAACTTGAAGCGCTTGTGAAGTTTAAAGAATTAAGCATGTTTTAGCATTTAATGCGCCTTAAGTTTTTTCCTTTACATCCCTAAAGCAATCATGTTTTGTACTCCGTATAAAATATCTTCCAGTAATTAGGTATTTCATGAGCATGTAAAAGATAAAGCAGTCAAAGAACATTACACCTCGAAATGAGCAAAGAGCTTATTGGTGGATCACTGTTTAGGTGTTTGTGCTTCAACTAGTTTAGTTAACTTGGTATTTAGTTTTTTGCATTTGTGTTTCTGGATATTAAATTTCAGGGTCACAGTTTTCTCCTTTGGTCTATTTGCAAGCCCTGCTGCTGGAATATGTACATTTGCTTTTGAAGTAAGACCTTTGGTCAACACTATGCTACTATGTGATATATGCTGACTGTAAATCATGTACTGATCGTTAGTTTTAACCTATAGCTACTTCTAAGAAAGGGGAAAAGGGGGAAAAGTCATTAGTTTGCATACATAAGAAGGTTATTGTAAACATGTCATTAGTGTCAAACTGTCAATATTTGCTACTTGGTCACATTAGCAGAAAAGATCAGCCTGTAATCTGACATTTTTTGTGACTTTAAGGATGGTTTGATGTTACACATGTGGGTAGTGCCATTAAAGAGGATAGGGTGAGGGAGAGATTTGAACACACAGTGAGATAGGGTGAGGGAGAGATTTAATTTTGGAAGCCCCCATGTGGACACTACCCAGTGAGAGATTGAACAATCCCGGTCTTTGATTTGGATGGATGACTACTTGGAATTTCTATGCTTAGAGCCTTACAGTAGAAAATAACACATAAATTTGATTTCTCTTTTTTCGATCAGTAGCAATTTAGATCGGGCTTGGGGCAGACATATGCTATATTAACTTTAATAGGATATAAAAGTTCGTGATTTAAGCATGCCTTTCCCCCCTCAAAAACATCAATCTGGTTCTTTCTTAAAAAAGGGCACCAAAAGTACTTTTTCACTATTGAAATCACCTTTTCTATTTTTTGCCTAACAATCTTTTTTAGTAAAATCACTATTTTCTCTCCACAAAACAGATTATTCTTTGAAATTCCCAAACACCCTCTTCTATATTCTCCTTGAATTAGCTTTCACTTTGTATATTTAAGATTTTACAACCGGAACCATAATTTGTTAAAACTTCTATTTACTTTCATAGAAAACAAGAAATGGCTGTAGTTATGGGCTTAATATGAAGAACTATTTTGTTGGTAATGTTCAAGCTGTCACACCCTCCTAAATTCCTTGTTATTCCTGCAGAAATTTGTGCTTCCAAGTTGCTATTCTCTCTTTCTTATGATTGTGCTTGGTGTACTGGCTTTCTTCGCTGAGGTTTTAACCTGGCTTATCATTGGTCCTTTACATTCGTGAAACACATCTGCTTGTCTTCAAACAATTTCTACCAGGTCATGTGATTTACAACCCTTACTATTCACAGATAACTTTGGCAAGAGGACTTCAGCTTGAGAAAACAAGCAGAGCTGTCAATGTACTCTATATTGAGGTATCATTTACATTCACTCTTTTGCAGTTTATTGGATTGCATTTTAGGGATTAATAAATGAATTCTGGGATCACACACTCGTGTTCCATTAGTTTCCTCAGACAATAGTAACATCATCATCATCATCATCATCATCATTACCCCAGTGTCGCAAAGGCTCCCACCTATGGTGGGGTAAGGGGGTCGGATGTACGCAGTCTTACTCCAGTACTACAGCACAAAGAGACTATTTCTGTATGACCCATAGTGAAAAATGCATCGAAAACTGCATGGACTGACTACTGCTTCATAACAAAGAAGTGCAAAAAATATTCCCAATTTAGTGAGCCAATTTTGCTTTATTACATCATATTTCCAAGACAAAAAATAGTGAGACTTTGGCTCCATTGCAAATGATGGAAATACAGAGTATTATGAGAGTGATGCTTAAAGAGTATAAAAAAACTTTCTTGGTATAACTTTACAGCTAAAGCTTTGATTGGTGGCCACAGGTGACTTACTCTGCTTATCAACAAAATAAAAATAGCATTTGACTTATTTGGCTACAATGTGTACGACCAAAATGTTTTTCCTCAGAATATTCAACCATATGATTTCCGCCTTATGGACCTCAGACCCTAAAATTGATATCCTCAATGACAATGGAAAAAGTTGGGCGATTCAGGAGAACACACAGTCGTATCCAACCAGAGTATTTGTCATCTGTGTAACTAATGGAGCTTACTGAAACAACTAAAGTTCTCATTACCTCCGAAATAGCCCAATAATATGTGTTGTGTGGCTGTTTCATTCGCAGGCAGCTCTATCACAGTTGTTGCGAATGGGTTCTTCAAGAATCGCATCCTTTAGTAAGTTAGTTGGATGTTCACTTATTTTGATCTCAGCCAGTTTCACGCTGATCTCTTGTGGACCTGAATGAGACTGAAAGGACTATGAACAGCATATTTCTCTATCGTGTGCGACCATGTACCTGCTTCTATTCTTTCTTGTATTGATTCTTGTTTTTGTAAACTGCAATATTATAATAAATATAAAAAACAGTTCACAAAATGTGCTATTGCATGATATTTTCCATACATGTAAAGTTTACCTGTGGTGATGGGGGTTTAGAATTTCTTCGCCCACCCCCTCTTATTATGGGGTATCTGGGGTAAAACATTGCCAGCATACAGTTAATTGGTCGGTCCTATATAGTTATTATGGGGTATCTGGTTTAGAATTTAACATTGCCACAAAACTAACCGGAAGTAATCAAATTTAAATTGACGAGAAATGAGTATTGTACTAATGTTATTCGGATCATTCATTTTCACCTTGAAACTTTCTTCCATCACCACTGCTGAAGCTCGATATACTTAAAGTTGCTTTTGTTATGCATAGAAGTAACTACTCACTATATGCTCATAATTTTTCTTTCATATTTGAAAAACCCTTTTTCCTCTTATCTATTTGAATGAGAAACATCCTACACCATTAGTGTTATATGATAACTCAATTTTTTTTTCCCAGAAGACAAACCACCAAAATCAGTGGGGTAAATGTGGAGAAACATCTACTGGGTTTTATTAATGTAGTGAAAAAATACAAGGAGAGGGGGGACAAAACCAAAACCCCTCCAGGAAGGCAAACCTCCCAAAAAACAACCAAACAAAAATCCAAAAAGCAAAATCCAACGAGGGGGCTAGGCCTAACCCAATGGATAAAATCAGTAAATAAATCTAAAAGATGGAAAACCAAACAAATCCGCGTAATAAGCATTTTGGGCTTTAGTCAGCAAGTCTAGAGCCCGTTTAAAAATACACAGTTGGGCTATTTGATGATCTGCCAATTGGTGGGCTATTGGGCTACCCAATTGCATTCCCTAACACAATAGGAAAAACAAACCCCTTTCCTATTTGCTCTTTGTATACTTTCCTGAAAGCTGGCCTTCCATCTGCTCGCACCACCATCCGCAACGTAAGACAGAGCCACCTCACATCCATTTCCACCATGAAATCTGAAAAGCCTTCGGAGATGGCCAAGTCCGAAGCGAAAAGAGTCGCAACCAACTCGGCTTCCAGCGGAGAGAGGCGACTACCAGAGGAAAAGATGCATCGAAGACTAGGATTCCCTCAACATTTCTCATAATCGCCCCTCCAGATGCAACACCAGGTAAAAAGCTAGCATCTGTATTGAGTTTAAATTCACCTTTGGGTCGTTTCCATTTCACCGCTTTGAAGAATCCACCTTTAAGCTTGAAGTCAAGAGGAATCAATTTCTCTTCAAAAAGGATATCACCAATTGAAAGGATATCACCAATTGAAAGGATATCACTATGTGTACACATTAGTACACACTATAAAAAGGAAAAAATTACTCTTTCATTTTACCCTTCTCTCTTCCCTCTCATCTAATCTGCACCATTCTCCTCCGTCATTCCTCTACTCTCATCTGCGTTTTTTCTTTTCTCTCCCTTCCCAAACCAAATATCCTTTGTCTTCGTTCAACCCAGCCTTCATGTCCGAGTCCAACACGAATAGCCGCGTGGTTGCAGCGGGAATCGATGCAAACGACTAGGGCGAGACATTGAGACAATCCATTTCCGCCGCTCTATTAAGAAGAAGTTCGGACCAAGTATCTCATAATATTGAGGTAGTATTCTATTTCAATTTTTCTATTCCTAGAGATCTCAATTGGAATAGAAAATTTATGATTTTTTAGTTTTTCAACTGTGAATTTGCTCTTTTCTCCCAAGACGTTGTTCACATGAATTATTTATTACATTTTTGTGCATTTAGGGTCATAGTTGACTCTGTTTTTTTCAATTTTATGTATGTATATGTTATAGTGTTGAATGCTTATTTACATTGTTATATTGTTAAAGATTTGTGATGTTAATAATTTTATTTTTTGTTCAACTATTCTCTTTCACTTTTATGCTCATAAGGTGTTTGTTGAAATGCTTCAATGATCTTATTTATTCATATTCATGATTTTGTGAGTTCATTTTTCTTTTTTTCTAATATGTCTTTATGCTTGATGGATTTCAAATATCTTTTTCTACTTTGTACACTTTAAATTGGGTTTGAGTGTGGTTTAATTTGTTCGACTATTTTATGGCACAGGTGTTCTAGGATCTTGTATTGTATCGACTTAGTTGTCATTATCAACTGCTTGTAGAAATGCCTCATTTTTGTTTTATGCAACATTTTTACATCTAAATTAACAGCATGGCAGGTTAGGGAAGTATGTACCAAAAGTTACAACCATGAGAAAATAGCTGGTCAACCATGAGAAAATAGCTGGTCAACCGAAGATTTGGAAAGCACTCTAAAGATTTGCTTTGTTGGATGCATATAGTGCTTGAAGAAATAAAGACATCTAACTTGTTGCAAATACAATTGGCATTTTGTAAAAGTGTATTATCTTGTAATTTATATAACTGGTGTTGGTTCAGAATATCTTGTAAAACGGTTTGAGTGATAAATGAAGTTTTTTATCTTTTTTGTTATTTATCAATATTTATTTAATACATTTTCATGCATACTCAAACAGTGGGAAATTGAAATTGTTTGTGTTTATTTATAATGTTTGTACGTGGTCAAAATATTGTCTGTGTATTCGTTTATTAGTTTGTGCATAGACAATAGTCGTCTATGCCTTTGTTTATATTGTCCATGTGTGATTAAAACATTGTTCGTGTGTTCATTTTCTTTGTATGCATTTATTCCTTTATTTGTGCGTATTCGAAGCATCGTTCATGTCATCGTTTATATTGTTTGTGTGTCATTAATTGGGACGGAGGGAGTAATTGATATACTATTGAATACATTTTATTTAAAAGTAACCAACTCATACAAATACATCAACTGAAACAAAGCCAAGTACCATTTATTGTGACATGGAGGAGTTTCTAATTTAATTAGTTCAAGATGGGAAACTCCAAAAAGAAGACACAATGATGAAGGACCAAAACCAGTCAACAAATTAAGATGATTTTCTAATTTAAATGGTGGTGTATGTTTAGCTTTGGAAATGTGTGATTTGTAGTACTGGTAGCTATTTATAATCATTGTACGTGATTCCTTAGAGCTAAAACAATTGTGTGTTATTAGTGGAGGAGATCAGACATTTTATCTGTGCATATATAATAATTGTTTGTGTGCTTGTTTATTTTGTTTGTGCGTAGTCGAAACATCATCTATGTCTTCATTTATATTGTTTGTTTGTTCGTTTATTTTGTCTGTGTGTTGATATTAATTGTCTGTGTGTTCATTTATTTTGTTTATGTTTAGTCAAAGCATCATCTATGTCTTCATTTATATTATCTGCGTATGATTAAAGCATTGCTTGTATTTTCATAGTCATATAAGAAAAGCAAACATAAGAAGTTGCATTAACTTCCATAATTCCCATTCATTTTCTCGAAATCTAATAAGGTTTAATGCAAATTACATATAACAAGTCACCAAAGTGAGTATAAGATTAACAATTTAATTTTTCAATCAATATAATACTACGTATGTATTAATAGCACTTATACACTTATATTCAAAAGTAAAAACACCTAGACAGTGGAAATGTGGTATATACATATACACCATCTGAAATGAAATGGTCGAGAAGCATGCTTGCAGCATTTCATTCAGGGATCATCCATCATATAACAAGACTTGCTCCAATATTCTTTATTCTATGGCTGAACTCAACACTTTGCATCAGTAACACCATCTTTTGTAATTTTTGGTGCACCACAACTTTGTTCAATCACAACATTGCATTCCTTTGGACCCATGGTGACCTTCACGGCATCAGCAAGCTCTTCCACTCACTGGAGCATCAAGTGAAATGAATCTATTTTTATATATACTATAAAACTCACAAGTTATATGTGCTTCAACAAATACTCAAAAGCATATATGGAATTTCAAACTTCTTTTTTGTATTATTCATCAAAACTCTCACTTATATATTACTCATTTATCACAAGAAAACATTTATCAAACTTACCATAAAAAAGAGAAACACGACATGAGAAAAGCCTAACGATAGAACCTTTTACTGCATTTTTTTTCAAAAAAAAAAATTTTACTTCATAAGTCCTTAATATTCTTCATTGGAACATTTTATCACACACAATGTGAGCATGATAAATAGTCAATTCTTAAGCATTAGATATTATGATGAAGAGCATAAATACGAACATGTTATACCAAGTTCCCTCTTTAAACTGTGAACTAGGCGGAAAATGCTATACATTTTTGAACAACTGAGCCCAACACAACTTCCCCTGGCTATAATGCAAAACTGTTCAATGCATCCCCTGATAGCATCTATTTTCGTTCACAGTGAATTTTGCATCCCCTGATTTTTTTTGCATCCCCTGAATATGCTATACCAAGTTCCCTCTATACAGTGGAACTAATCTCCGGGTTCACAGTTTAAATTTTGGGAGCTATTTAAAGAGGGAAAAATAATAGTTCACAGTTTTGCATTAGCTCCATCCCCAATATGTTGATAAAGCAAAGCAGGCACATCATTTGGGGTAACATAGCTATACCTCAATTACAAGAGAAAATATTATGATATTAAGGGATAAAACGAAACGAATATACAAACCAATATGACGTTGAGCAAAAGAGAAATAAATATAACCTTAAATGTAAAAAATATGGAATGGATTATGACTTCAATGATTAAGTTTTTGATTCAAAGTATTAAGAAAAAAGAAAATTAAAAACTTGAACTAATAAACAAAAAAGGAGAGTAAAAGTCTTGCAGTTTAAAAAAAATCATTGAACCATTTCAACAAACACTTTATGAGCATATATGTGATATAGAGTAATTGAACTAAAATTTCATTAACTAGCACTACATTTCTTAAAACACTACACAATACTCAACTATTAAGTGTTATACCATACATAAATACATAATATACAAAAAATCAGAAATTTTAAATGAATAAAACCCTAAAATCCATATAGAAAAATCGAAATACTACGTAGATTATTACCTCAATATTGATGATCTTATCCTCATCGCCTGCGTCTATTCCGGCTGCAACCATGCCGCTGGTGTTGGGCTCAGACTTGAGAAGGATGGATTATAAGGTTGCAAGGGAAATGAATGTTAGGGTGGCATTGGTGGGTGAAAGTCTGAAACGACCGACCCCTTGTAACCTTGTTCCCTTGTTTTGGTGCAAGAAGAAACAAAAGAAGAAAAGTGAGGAGAAACAGAATGTAATAAAAAAGAAGAAATGGAGAAGAGGGGGTGTCTGGGAGAGATCGTAACTCAGAAGAATGCGAGAAGATGGAGAGAAGGGTAAAACAAAGGAAAGAAGGGTAAAAAAAATTAAAACCCCTTTTATAGTGTGTACTAGTGTGTAAGTGGAGTGTGTACAAAGAGCCTTTTTGATCCGCAACGTAAGACAGAGCCACCTCACATCAATTTCCACCATGAAATCTGAAAAGCCTTCGGAGATGGCCAAGTCCGAAGCGAAAAGAGTCGCAACCAACTCGGCTTCCAGCGGAGAGAGGCGACTACCAGAGGAAAAGATGCAGCGAAGACTAGGATTCCCTCAGCATTTCTCATAATCGTCCCTCCAGATGCAACACCAGGTAAAAAGCTAGCATCTGTATTGAGTTTAAATTCACCTTTGGGTCGTTTCCATTTCACCGCTTTGAAGAATCCACCTTTAAACTTGAAGTCAAGAGGAATCAATTTCTCTTCAAAAAGGATATCACCAATTGACTTGAGAAACTGTTGACCCAATTCTGAGCATACAGTTTGATTTGTGTGATGATGAACTCAGAATCGGGGACCTTATTCTCTGTACCCCAGATAATACTAGAGTAGATCTTCCACAAATGCCAACAAATGATGCCCGGTAAATTATGTTTAAAGATATCTATCAACTTCATGCTCCCAACCCTGAACCACCAGGCCATGAAGATATTCTTTATAGTGCTTTCATGACTGGGCATAGGAATACTAAAAATATTCATGAAATAGAACCAAATAGGCTTGGCCACAGTGCAACTATAGAATAAGTGATCAACATAATCTTCACTTTGTTTGCACAAAGGACAGATTGATGGATTAAGAACCATATGAAATATGTGCAAGTTATCTGTAACTGGCAGAATTCCTTTCAGAATTTTCCATTGAAAAAATTTAATTTGCAGGGACTGTTTAGGATGTCAGGAATGTTTAAAAGAAAAGGTGGAAGCCTTTTCAATCCTCACCATGTTAAAAGCATATCTGAATGTAAAACTACCATCCTCCTCAGATAACCAAGTCACATTATTATCAGAGTTTACAATGCATAAACTATTAGCACAATCAGGACGCACTGTAATACCCGAGATTAATTTAAGAGGATTAATAGTACTACTCATACCAACAAGGTGCATCTCCTTTTAAGAGAGCTCATTAGCCAAGAACTCTAAAGTTAAGCGTGCTTGCACGGGAGTAGTCTTGGGATGGGTGACCCCCTGGGAAGTTTCTCAGGGCGCGCACGAGTGAGGACAAAGTGCGCGGAAAAGGCTAGTGGCGGTTTGTGAGGACAGTACTAGAGGTCATAAGTAACTACCTCGGGGCCTACGGGGCCGGGGTGTTACAAATGGTATCAGAGCAACCCTGCGACAGTGTGTTGACCCGTTAGATATCGGGCAGGCACTTAGCGGGGCAAGATTCTGGGGTTTGATTGAGAGTGTTAAGGGCGCAACGAGGACGTTGCGATCCTAAGTGGGGGTGATTGTAATACCCGAGATTAATTTAAGAGGATTAATAGTACTACTCATACCAACAAGGTGCATCTCCTTTTAAGGGAGCTCATTAGCCAAGAACTCTAAAGTTAAGCGTGCTTGCACGGGAGTAGTCTTGGGATGGGTGACCCCCTGGGAAGTTTCTCAGGGCGCGCACGAGTGAGGACAAAGTGCGCGGAAAAGGCTAGTGGCGGTTTGTGAGGACAGTACTAGAGGTCATAAGTAACTACCTCGGGGCCTACGGGGCCGGGGTGTTACACGCACAGACTTGGCTACTTCAGGGATCGTGAAATGGCGATTTACAAATTCCATCAATACCAGGTGGTCGGAAGAGGTCTCCCGTCGGAGTCTGTTGAGCAGCCAAAGATATACCGCATGAAGCTATGGGCCACTGATGAGGTCCGCGCAAAGTCTAAGTTCTGGTATTTTTTTAGGAAGCTGAAGAAGGTGAAGAAATCCAATGGCCAGGTCCTAGCAATCAATGAGATCTTTGAGAAGAATCCCACCACTATCAAGAACTTTGGAATATGGTTGAGGTTCCAAAGTAGAACTGGCTATCACAATATGTACAAGGAGTTCCGTGATACCACTTTGAACGGCGTAGTTGAACATATGTACACTGAGATGGCTTCTCGTCACAGGGTTCGCCAACATTGCATTCAAATAATCAAGATCGATATTATCCCAGCAAAGCTATGCAAAAGAGAGCACCAAATCAAGTTCTCTTTGGTGTTGAGGAAGGTGAGGCCACCATCCAGGAAGCTCCAAACCACCTACAAGGCATCTCGACCCAATCTCTTCGTTCAAACCTTTTTGCCATAATTTATTTTTGTCTTGTTGTTTTTCACATTTTGGATGGACTTCTTGTTTCGGTCAAAACATTGTTTGGTTGAAGAGGGGAATGATTTGTTTCTTTGATCAGTGATAATTTTATTTTGCTTGCTACAAGTCATCGTTTAATTTATTATTTATGATATGCTTGTAAAAAAAACTATTAGGACAATCACTGGTTGCACAAATCCTTCTCGAAATTGGAGAGTCACTGACCTTAGTATTCATATTGAGCCCTCTAGGATACCTTGCCTTTAGGAACTCAAATTTTGATTTGCACATTTTTGTTTGGTGTCGGGGAGTGTAATGTGATATTTTATTCAAGCAACCTATAATTGTAAGCTATATTCTAACTGTCTAAGTCACTATATATGATGGATTGTAAGAGAAATAAAATTGCAAGATAACCAATCAAGTGATAAAACTAGAAGGGAAGCATGAGTCATGCAAAATCATACCAACCACATTACAAAGAATAAGGATGCATGGGGGGATTTGAAAAAAATCATACAACAAAAGGAGAAAGTAACAAACGTTACTTAGGGATGGACCCAGTTGGCGGTCCCGGACCGGATCGGAACCAGACCCGCCACTGTGCGGGACTGAACCGAGTCTGTTTTTTCGGTCCCGGGCTTGGATCGGGTAGAGGGCGGGCTCGATCTCGGGTAGCGTATTTGGGAACCAGACCGAGCGGTCCCGGTTCCGGTCCCAACAGCCAATTTTTATTGTTTGGATTTTAATTAGGGTGGGAGGGTCAAACTAGTCGTTTGGAATGGCTAGTAACAGCTCTTTGGTCGTTAGGGAGGGGATGGGGGTTGGGGGTGGGGGTTACCAATTTTTTTGCCTATATATACCTACTCATTATATATATATTTTCACACTATTCTACTTATAATCAAATTATATACTTTTAGTTCTCAAATTCTCATTCACAAATTATACTCTATTCACATTTATACTTTCATCTTTCATAATTCATATATTCATATTATAATTATATTTATATACTTATTAATTATTACACAATAATACTACTACCGCCATATTGACTTTTCTTGGTCAATGATGTCAAACTTTGGATAATGATTTTAATTATTATATTTGTATATAATTTATAAATTTTATACTTTTATGAAAATATTTAGAATAAAGAACATTTTGATATAAATTTCATATTCAAAATAATTTCATATTAAAAAATATTATCAATCAAAGTTGATCACCATTGACCAAGAAAAGTCAATTTGGCGAACTTTTTCGGGACGGAGGGAGTATATAAATGTTTATAATTTCTATTTCTACATTCCTACTCCTACTCTTTCAATATTTCTTATTAAATATATTATATTACAATTATATTTATATACTCCTACACTTCCATATTTAACATATATATTTAATTATACAATTTGTAGTTAACTAGTTCCTACATTCTTGTAGTTAACTAGTTCCTACTTCCTACATTTTTGTTAATTACTTCCTCCTTTTTGTATAATTAAGTAATTATTATACATTAATATATATACGTATATAAATATTTATATATATACATGAAATATAAACAATATATATAATTTAATATATATATATACACGAAATATATATATACATATAAATACTACATACATTAATAGTCGAAATTTATTTACTAAATGTACAATTTATTTCTTACATTAATATACATTTGTAGTTAACTAGTTCCTACTTCCTACACTTTTGTTAATTACTTCCTACTTTTTGTATAATTAATTAATTGTTATACATTAATATATATATACGAAATATAAACAATACATATAATTTAATATATATATATATATATATATATATATATATATATATATATATGAAACATATTAAATATATAATATATATACACACACGAAATACACACACACACACTATATAGTTAGTCACATTTGAAATTGTAGTTGTTAATATTACAAATTGTAGTTACTATATTTTCGTAGTTGTTAGTAGTTGCATTATAATCAATTAGTTTTTTTGTATTTAAATTGTAGTTAGCATTTTTACATTTTTTTGTAAATAGTTTTTAATAAAATTTGTAATTCAATTTATTGACATTGTACAATGGACCGGGCTAAAAAAGTCTAGGCGTATTCACTTCCATTCATACTTTATGGACTTTTAAAAACACGGATCCTCATGGACTTTTAAGTCATTTTTAGTATAATAAATTTTTGCAATTGTCTTTTCTCCTCACAAAAGATTTTTATGGACGTTTTCTTGTGTCTTCTACTCGCCACAAGTGCACATAAATCCGATTATAGAACCAGACTAGATTTGACTAATTATTTTCTCGAGATTACAAACCGGCTAACCGATCATGGACAAGTACCAACTCAGAAGGTGGGTATCAGGATGTCTCACTATGGCCTATGCAAGGTTTGAAAATTAAATTTTTATTTTTATCATTTTTATGATAAATAAGTTTATTTCAATTACTTATTTCATTGTTTCTTATCATAGCGGATAGAGGAAACTACTCATTGTAGGACTAAAACATACAGAGTAGCATTCTTAAAATAGGATCATATGTGTGATTGTTTACTTAAATAGGACTAAACATTACATTACTACATCTAATTTAATTAATTAATATAATTAATTTCCTCCTAGTTTCCTTGCATAACCAAGATCAGTCTATTAGTGGAGGTAACGAACTCCGACAACGACAGCAAGATTTCGGTAATTCAGCAAAGACGATCCGGGGGAAATTCCGGTGACCGGCGGCGACGATCCGCATTTAAAGGTCTATGAACTTTTAAAAATGTCTATAACTTATCCATAGATTTTTGCAAATCAACATAGTTCATTCATAAAAAGTCTAAGGATTTAAAAGTCTATGGAGTTTTAAAAAAATCCATGAATTAAAGAAATCCACCATAATATCCTTTCAACCATCTCGAAATCATTTCTCATGTTTCTTTCTTCTATATAATCTCAATACACATTTTCCGTTTTCTAAAAATCCACATGCTTAGTAAAAGTGTAGCAGTACTCTAAGAAATAAGGAGTAGTAATTATGTAAAATAGTTTGTTGGTTAATTTTCTAGTATCACATCAGATTATGAAAATTATAATGGGAGACAATTACGCAAAATACTACTCCGTAGTACATAATTACTGCATGTTTTAAAATTATAAATAAATTATTTGTTGCTTAGAAATCTAAGAAATAAATTCAAAATCGGGAGGAATATAATTTTGGAGGCACATGAGCTCTTTGATTTGTATTTCTATAAGCTTAACTAGGCGGAGCTTAACTAAACGTAAGCTAGTTTCTTCATCTCAGTTTCCCACACCGAAAATTTTGAAAGCAGATAGAGTAAATAAAATGAGGAAGATGAGACTCATGGTCACGACCTTACTTGAACAGGATCTGTTCTATAGGATCGTACCTCTGAATCCTTGAATTATAAGGAGATCGGAAACTAAGCCTGGTTGATGACCGAAGGCCTAGTGGTTAGAGCGTGATTAACGGCTCCTTCTCAGCTTTGAACGGAGCTGTAGAGGATCGTTCTCCTCCGTTCGCGGCGGAGATGACCTCTGGGCTGTCTGACAGGTTCCTTTTTCTTTTTTTTGGGTTGGATTCTTCTTGTTAGTGAGTTTGTTTTGGTTGCTAGTTTCTTCATCTCAGTTCACCAAGCTTCGTGATTTTCTTCTAACTCAAAAAAATGTCTCCATCTTCACCAACACATAGGTAAATTGAATCTGCAATATCTTTTTTCTTAAATAAATTAACAATTAACGATAAATGTTTCCATAAATTGTGTTTTTGATGTATTTTTCAGTTTTACCAATTTAAAATATGTATACTCGTTTCTCACAATTTCCATTTAATCCACCTGATCTAATTTTCGCCTGAAACTAGGGTTCATGCTATACGTTATTGGTTTCATTGCACTCATCTTGCAGTGCATTCCTTTGATTCCAAAAATGAAACTTTGGTCATTAATTGTGGGTGAATGTTATATCTGAAGAAGTAGGTTGATATGGCAGCTATGTTGTTCCAGCAGCTCCACAAATTTCATCTGGACACGTCTCAGGGCAAATATCAATGGCTGAATTTTTTAAGATGGGTAAGCCGCAAAATTAAGTGCAGTGTCTTCCAAGTGAATCATTTAATAATGGTTTTGAAAAGAAATTCGTGTTTTCGGAGTGTTGTGATTAAATTCCATATAGAATTCTTATTTTTTATTTTGAAATAAAATTTTTATATATGAATTCTAATCCTTAATAGGGTTAAAGTTCTTAGATGTATTTTCAACCAAAGCTCTTAATTTCTAAAATTGACAACTTCACTCAATATAGTAGCATCAACTCATTCATGTTGTCATAATCACTGCAGACATTTTAAAGGTTTCTCATTTACTACGTATTTTATTGATTTATGTATCTGTTGCTCCAAGTAGAAGTGCTCTTTCTTTTGAGTGATGCTTACTTAATCTCTTGTCAGGGAGTTATTGGCTTAATATTTGACAAATCAGTATTGGAGCCCACATTTTGCACCATGTATGAACAATTGTGCTCTAATCTAAATGAGAAACTTCCTCCATTCTCATCTAAATGGAGGTATATAAATCATATTTAGGAGAGTGTTATTGGATACTTGCCAGCTGGCTTTTAAAGGCTCTAAAAAAGTTCCATTTTGGCAAGTAATGTTTTGTTGGAATTATTTCTTGTTATTATTGTTATAATGATAGTACTCTCTATTACCTAAAAGGTGTAATATGTGTTTCTTCAGCTCTCAGTTGCCTATCTACTCTATATTTCTGGTCTTCATTACACACTAGAATGTTTACATTTTTTTGATACATCACAAACGAATTTGGTTTACACATTATTTACACATATCTTTTTGTATCTATCACTTTTCTAATCACGAGTCTTTTATCATGAATGGTTATTAACAGCCAAGGAAAGGAAAAAGGAAGGTGAAGATAAAAAAATGAATAAAAAAGAGATGCTTCTAGAGGCTGCCCGGACAGGTTATGGTGATTTTTGGTATGTTTTATTCATTTTTAGCTACCAATGTTTAAATTAGCATGTTTGTGAAAATCTTTGGTTAGTATGCACTTTAGTTGCTTCCTTTTTCCTCCTTGCTTCAAACTAAGATTAGTTTTTTATGCTTTCTAAAATATCTACTTTTACTTGCATAACAGATTACTAAAAATTACTTCTCATGACCATATCTAATGAGTATTGATCTGTTAGTTAGTTCATATATTAACTCTTAATAAGAGGAAGAGTTTCGGCCAATCGAATTCCAGTGGCTAAAGCAATAAGTTTAGATTTTTTTCTCTTCTCTTTTCTTGGATGCTTCAATCCTGATTTTTGCAGTTGCTTTAGTTTCACTTTTCACATTTATGGAGTTTTCTTGAGTTTTGTTATTATCCACTTTAAAAATTATATTTTTAGTTTCATCTTATTGAGTTGTTTTGTTCACTTATCCAGGGATGTGATTTTAATGATTACAAGTAAATAGGCATAGAGATAATTACAGATTATAATTAGGCATTTTTTTATTTTAAACTTTTCTTGGCAATTTTTTACTTCTTGAACAGTTGAACAATTAGCATTAAACATTTTAGTGATATGCGTGCCTACGTGGAACCAAACAAAGTCAATTGAGTCCAAACTGCACAGTCACGAACCAATTTGAGTATCAGTAGCGGTTGGGATTAAAGTAAGTAATAGAGAAAAGTCATGCTTCTTCTGATTTAAAAGTGATATGGTATCTGCAATTTTCTTTTCAGAAGTAAAGAGAAGAATCAATATTCATAAAACAGTTTATAGTTGCCCACTAATAAGATATCTTTCAAAATATATTGATTCGTGAGTCATGAGAGACCTGTAACTTGATTACTCTTTGTGAATATAAAATCTAACTCTTTAGTCTTTACTAATGAAACCTTGGAAGAGGAATGAGAGGCAAGTATATTACGGTACAATGACCGTTAAACTCTATTTGAGTTGAATGATATTTAGAAGTGGCAATCAGCCTTATTAAAGGATGCAAAGCTAGAGGGAAGCCTTCCAGTCCAGCCGCCAGCCACTCAGCTGGGAAAGCAATTATGCAAAGAAGCCCTTGGTCCTTGGAGTTGCGAAGTGCGGCAAGTGACTTCGTGGCGCTTTCCGACCAACATCCACCTGAGCCTCTGCCCTCCGATAGTCCAGTCTCGCCCCTCGCACTCCAGTCTGCAGTGGTCTGCCTGCCTCCACTCCCTCCAGATGGAGTCCAGCTCTACAGAGTTGTCTTACAATTGAAGCACTTTGGTTGGGTTGTGTAGGAAGGGGAAAAGCCGATTTTTAAAGAAAGGTTGGAATTATGTTTCAGATTAAGCTCAGAAAACCATCCAGTGAGGGCGGGTGTTCGACGAAGCAGCTACCTTCTGACAGCATTACTTTTGCATGCCCTGATCACCTTGTCTTAGCAGATCTTCCAGTTGCTAAGAGCCTTGATTTGGCAAGTGGCACTGCTATTTTAAAACCTGTTGGTCGGAAATCCCGTGTCAGCTTGGAGAGCAGGTTCGTTTTTGTGTTTGTTGTGATTTTCCTATTGCCATCTATGGGCGTCTGAGCCCTTGTGAGCATGCCTTTTGTTTAGATTGTGCACAAAGTGATTCCCTCTGCTACCAATGCGATGAACGCATTCAGAAGATTCAGACAATTAAGTTGATGGAGGGAATTTTCATCTGTGCAGCTCCTCACTGTCTTAACTCGTAAGTCATTCCTGAAGAAAAATGAATTGGAGTCTCATATTCATGGAAACCATGCCGACCTTCTTCAACCAAGTGCAGGAAAAAGTACGAATGTGTCGGACACCGGCAATGCTAGAAAACCTGCAGCATCAGAATCCACTGTACAAGCACCTCTCAGGTCTGCATTCTCTTCCACTCTGGGCTCCCAGGCTTATGATCGCGAAGACAAAGCTCAGCATATGTCATCAAAACCACCTTCTACTGGAAAAATGTAGAACCATCAAACAGATCAGGCGATCAGCCGGCTGATATAACCTCCTCCAGGTTTTGAGAGGTCTGGTTCTCAGAATCAATATTCTCTGCAGAATTTTGACTCACGGGGCGGGATGAGACAAGAACCTGGCCCATATCATGACAAGCAACAAGGATCTGTTGGGGGGTGTCCTTTTCCAGAATATTCTATCAATAATGTTCCTCGTCAACCTCATACTTTCATGCATGTTAATCCAAATTCAGTTATGCCTCTTCAATTAGGATATCCTCATTTTTCACCTGAACCGTTTTATAGTATTCCATATGATATGAGAAGGCCACACTCGACTACAGATGTTGGCTCAGAACAAGGATCATTACTGGGTTTCCCCCCAGGTCATGCTCGGCCATGGGTATGTCGCGAACTGCTGGCCCTTTTGATTCTCCAGCAGCTCATGGATTCATGGCTAGTTTCCTGAATGCGCCTGAACAAGGAAGAAGTGCTTTCTTTCAAGGAAATTCTGTAGCTTTGCCTCCAAATGGTCCTCCTGCCTCCCTTTCATCTAACAAAGGATTAGAGACTGGACATGGTGGATATTATATGGATTCACGTGATGCAAAGACTAATTTGGCACAAACTATGCCTCTCCCGCCACTTCCTCCTTTGCCTCCTCATATGCACCAGCTTAAAAGAGGTAGATCGTATTCAGGGGATGCTGAGTCATGATTCCAGGAAGGGCTTCAGCTGACAGCAAAACATCCTGATTGGTCTATCTGTTTGTATTTCTTCTTCTTTCAGTACCTGTTTATGTTTTCTGGCTGATAGTGTTGTATTGGAAACGAATGAGTCTAATTAGTAAAATATGTTGCAGAGTTCAAAAAAAAAAGATGCAAACCTAAAATAGGATTTTCACTCGAATTCCCCTAAAATGATAGGCATGACTCTGATGATGTTTGAGATAAAGAACAACAAAAAAGTGAATTAACCTGATACGGCCAACCAGAGGAAGCTTATCCATCAATGTTTAAGTAAGGATGTTTGTGAAAATCTTTGGTTAGTATGCACTTTAGTTGCTTCTCTTTTGCTCATTGCTTTCAAATATGATTAGTTTTTCCACCAGGCTAGATATTTTCTGTATGCACTTTGTTTGCTTTCTTTGGTTGTTGATTTGCTTACTTTTTAGTATAATCAGATTTTCCTCTAGGCTAGCTTTACTCTGGTGTTAGACACATTTTAATTATATCACTCAATCGGTTAGAAACAAAGGAACGAAACATACTCCATTAGTTGCTATGATAAAGTGATGTCTGAAGAACAACATATGTTAATTTAACATTGAAAACTAAAAGAGGATCCTCTTCTCCTTTAAAAACTACATTTTCCTGGACGCAATAAGTAAAAACCTACCATTTTGAGTGAATGGAGAAAAAACATACTAATAGATATTTTTGTGAGTTGGTGTGTACTAGATAAATGTTTTTTTCTCTAATAATATCTACAAGTGAAACTAATATCACAAAAATCTCAAGAATATCTATTAAAATAATTGCAGTGAAAGAATAATCTACAAACTTTTAGAGTTTGTCTGGTTGTTAATGTTCTATTAGTTCTGAACTCTCAAAAACTAATAGATGTCTGAATCTATCACTAAATGTCTAAACTAATAGATTCAGACACATCTTTTTTGAATTAGTGTCTTAGATTTCAGTTTAAAAATTAGGTCAGTGTGCTAATTGCTAAAGATGAAAAGTGGTCAAAGTATCTTAGTACTGCATTTCATGTGTTTAACATTCTACATTATATTTGCATTTAATAAATCTTATTAAATGTCTATATCCAAATGTAAAGTTACTACATCCATTCTATCAGGTTTGGTGTTACACAGCAAACATGTTCTATACTTCTGTATGTGTGTATCAGTGTATGTATTTTCTCTTTCCGGAGTAAGAAGCAATTCATGTCATAAATGGTAGAAATGTGATCACAAAGCTAATACATAATCTTTGTAACTTCTGAAAGCTCCAAACAACATGAATGATGAAGAAGAATCAGTAAAGATTATTGGGGGTTGACGAGAGAATAGCTTCTGTCCTTTCATCTGCACCAATTAGCATTTGTATCATCCGGTCTGCTTAGCACGCATTAGTTCCTTTCATCGTTTCCAATAGAGGAACTGATTTGTGTTGATACGAATCAGATTTGGATTTAGGAGTTATTCCGCACTACTTTTATTCTATGTATGTACTTCGTATATCTATATATGTATGTATATGCTCTGTATATGAGTATATCTACCAGGCAGAGATGTTATGTTTTGTCTGGACAACTACGCAGATCTTCCGTTTCATACGGGTTGCATACTTGCATGTGTGATGTGTGTAAATATTTACACATAAATTTCCATTTCATACCGACTATATTGTAACTAAACAATAATTAAACAGGTTTAACACTTGAAATAATGACAACAATATTACTTCTCAGTTTCTGTTGGACAAAAATATGACCACTTTTAACAATTATTGGAAAATGACCTGACTTTTAACGTATTCCACCTTCCGCTTTCAACTTACGCTTTCATCTTCCTCTTCCGCCCAAACATCCTCACAAGCTCCAGAGCCTCCAACGTTGATGTTGTCGTTGCACAAACAATCACCAACACCAGCACCAATCTCTTCTTCTTCTTTGAAGTCGGTTGCTCCATCATCGAAGAACAATCCATATATGTGACTCCCTGTGCTCCAGTCGGTTGCTCCTCTTATGCGGTGGCTAGGTTATGGACTTGCGGCGGCTAGGATTTGGGGTAGATGAGCGGTGAAGATGCAATCCCTACAGTAGGGATGACACTTTCACAGCTCTTCATCGCCATAGCTAGATCAATTTAGATCTGGTTCTTCTTTATCTTCTTGTCTAGCCATTGTTTTCGTTTTGGTACATAGATTTGGCTTGGTGTTGGGTCAACGGCTGGAAGGTCGGGGAGGGGGCTGGTGCAGCGGCGGTGGGGAACTGACGGTGCTTTTGGACTATGGCAGTGGTGCAGGGGCTTTGGAGTTATGGTGCAGGGGCCTGTTAGCGATGGTGCAGGGGAGGAAATGGTGGTAAGTGACCGGAGGGCAGTGATCAGAGTAATTTTGTGTCACTGCGGATGGTTGTCGGAAGGGAAAGGCTGGTGTGGTCACTGTTGGTGGCCGAGGGCAAAAGCGGCAGTTTCCAAGTGTGAGGCAGCTGAGTGCGGGTGCGGGGGGTTGGGGAGGCGGCAGTGGCGGCGGCATTGGGGTGGCAGCCGGTTTTGATTGAATTTTACATTTACGGCAGGTAATAGTGACAACGACGGCGGCACAGATGTCACTGTGGTGGTGCCACTGTAGCGGCGACACTATGACAGTGTTACTGTGGCGGTGACGATGTAATTGACGTGAAAAAAATTGACAGTGACCACCCTCAGTGACATGAAAAACGCATACAGTGACATAAAATTTTTGCGGTGACATCATGTATTTCAATTCCAAATGTATGACCTAGTTAATCACTTTTTTGTCAATTTTTAAAACTACTCACATTTTTGAAAATTTAGTTCAATTTAGTAATATCAAAGGGAAAACCCCTTAACACTTTAACTATGAATAAGTGTAGTCTATACAACCAAGCATTCCAGCACCGCTGGTTGTGAGGTTATCGTACCTAGTGATAGGTCTCGAGTTCGAAACTCACTAGGCATATAAGGGTTTGAAATTCAATAAAGTGAGTTTCAACCCTAAAGATTACTCCAGACCCTCAGTCACCCTCCCCAGACCCCCCGGAGTAGTTTACACCAATGATTTGGTGGGTAGAAAGGTGTGAAGAAGCAAAACATTGCTGACTCTACCAACGATTTTCGAGCTTTCAAAAAAAATAGAGATTCCTCCGGTGGTAAAAGGAGAAGGGTGAAGTGAACAATTTTGTTTAGCATATTTTTAAAAGTTTGTGTTAGAAAACATGTCATTTTCCAGCCTATAATCACGACTAAAAAAGGATCCTGTGGACGGTGATATGGCTAGCAGCTAATTAAGAATTTAATTTGCATGAGGTCATTACATCCACATTTATTGGATTACTTCTTAAGTAGGAAGAACCATTTATATATGAAGTTTGAATTTTAAATAAAAGCATATCTATTGTCTTGGATTTTGAACTCTACATCACATTTCTAACTTCAATTTTACTTTTTCTAATCATTACACAATTCAACACACAAATTCAAACATTACATTTCGATGACAAAATTGATTGATAAGTTTGATAAAGAAACCCGATGTCACTAAATGAGCTCTAAAATTGAATGAATTGATTGAATAAGTTGAGGTTAATGATATTCTGATTAAAGTGATTTTCAGAATTATGGAAAAAATATTTTATTAATAACATAAAGAATAGTAGTCAGAAAAGTAACTCTAATATATACTAATTTTGATTATTACATAATTCTATGCACACAATCAAAAATAATATATACAATATGTAATAAATATTGACTGATGAGACCAATAAGCTTTATATAAAGATGAGCCTAATATCGGGATGTTATGTGAGAATATTACTCGGTAGATGTGATGTGAATAATTATATATTGGGGTGTTCATCATGAACATCAAAGTATCAAACCATACGTAATGATTTTATGATTTATGAAGAACAGAAGAATATGTATTACCTCAACAAATGATGCGGTTGAAGATGCAGTCATTTTTATCATGCAAAATTAAACCAATAGAAATGGTTGTATAAAAATTGTGTAGAAGTTATGTGTCGAAGGTTACATACGTTAAACGTTTAAAGATATTGATTTGTAATGAAGATAACAAATAAATTAATCACAACTGAAGTTGCTTACAAACAAGTGTTATAAACTAATGAGAGCTCATGGGAACATTTATACCATTTTCAAAAGAGAAATTGTCAATACTGTCTGGGCCGTGTATTTCTAATTATAATCCTCTCTGTTTCACAATGAGACACTTCTTTATGTCCTTACTTGGTCAACTAATCTTTACCAAACGAGTAAAAACGATACTTAAAAGTCAAAATCAGAGGGAGTACAAAGAATTCAAGAGGACTATACTAACAGCCATAAATATTACTAGGTACAGAAAAGTGTACAATTAAGAGGCACCCTCAACTTTGATTTTAAAAGATTTTCTCAGAAGCATATATTTGATCTTATTTACTGCGTATTGTTGCTCCCGGTGAGTGACGTCACAGTCAGCAACACATGGATGGAGAGAAAGAGGAGGCAGTGTGGACTGTGGATTGAGGTGCCTCCTTGATCGAATATGATACGCAGTATCACATAACATTTTTTTTCAAATACAGTAAAAATAAAATATCAATTAGTCACTCAAATTTGATAGGAAACAATAATACAAGAACATCCAGAGATGAAAAAGACAATTCAAAGGAGCAGATGGAGTAATATTCTAATTAAAATGTACTTCTAAACCACTTTGTATGCAAGATTGATTAATTTTGATAATCAGGTACTTCGGTAATGAATTCCAGTGCTAAATTATGAAGTTGAATCCAAAATCTTTATGGTCCAACATGTGGTAAAAAATCGACTTTTCCCATATGATTTATGCTCTTATTCTCTTCTTTTGGCTTGTAGATTTAAGGTCTGGTTTCTAGGCTTACTGCTTTGGTAATTTTGGGTATGGATTAGGAATGGCAACCATTAAACCTGTGGAACGCTTTATTTTGGTTGTTTCTTCTGCTTTTGTAGATTCTCGAAAATCAATAATAGGGAGAATGCATTACAAAAAAAATTATATTTTAATTGGATACAACAGAGGATTACAAGATTTAAATAGATAAAAAATCAAGGATGAGGGGAATAGCCTCAGATAGTCGATCACTCGTCATCTAAAACTTTCAGACGGTAATTCCAAATAGTTCAACAGAATTCATCAATGACATTCCCCGATCTCCAAACCATAGAAAATGAATATAGTTATGATTTTTAATTATAATAATGATCCAAGTAGATTAAATTCAAACCCAGAACGCTGTTCAGAAAATGTCATTTTTCAGAACCAATTCATGAATTTATTCAAACATTTGGAAGACAGGGTAAGATGACTAAATGCAGTCACTTATGAAGTCTTAAAAGTTCACATTGAAATGTAAACGCATAAAACGGCTCTATGGAAGAACAGAACATCTATCCATAGGTTCCTATATAATGCGAATAAATTTGATCTCGGTTCAATCATAGCATCGCCGGTCACTGCACGGAAATGCTACCGGCGACGTGGCATCGAACCTTCGTAATTTTCACATCGCAAGAAAACAGCCTGGGAGAAAAACAATAACCTCAGAGACCCGTTCCAAATCACACAAACCCAGCGGCGAAAGCGGATCGAAGCCACCGCCCAAAAAAGTACAAAACAATTTGTGGGCGGAGCGACGCCGGACCTCCACCGCTGCTGTTCGGATTGTCATACGGCACTTCCTATTCTATGGGAATTCTTCCTCATCGGCGTCAAAACTATGTAATCTACCGCTAACCCTAAACCCAGCCCCTAAAACCGAACAAACCAGTTGTTCGGATTAGCATTTGAAGATGAGAATTGGGTGAACGTGAGAGTTTATATATATGCGTGTGCTCAGAAGTACGAAACCCTAATTTTGCTCCCATGGAGTTGTTGATGGACCTTAAATTTGGGCTTCTTCAACAATAGTCGAATTTACAACCACGCGTCTTCTAATATGGGGTCGTGAGGAGCACCGTATTTATATTTTTTTTTTCCCTTTTGTTTTTAAAAAATAGTAATAACTTTTTTATTTTTGATCCGATTTTTATAAAATTTATACCAACATTTTTTATTTTTCATGATCTTTCAAATGAGACCAATATTGCCTATGTAATTTTAACATATTAACATTTGCGTGTAAAATATGTAACTTTACGTGTATAAATATGTAACTTTACGTGTAAATATATGTAAGTCGCGTTCATGCATGTCAAATGCAACTCGTGTTTATATTTATGTAACTCGCTTTTAAAAAGATGTAACTTGCTTATAAAAAGATGTAACGTGCTTATAAAAAGATGTAACTTGCTTATAAAAAGATGTAACTCGCTCATAAAAAGATGTAACTCAATGTATTATCAAATGTAACTGAGGCCACTGATCCACTCCCAAACAGATTCGATCTTCTATTTCACAAACCTATCATCTCCCAAACAGATTCGATTTTCCTTATAATCCAATACTCATTAATATAATAGTTCAATAATTTCTTAAAATTACATAAGCAATATTAGTCTCATTTGAAAGATCATGAAAAATAAAAAATGTTGATATAAATTTTATAAAAATCGGATCAAAAATAAAAAAGTTATCATCATTTTTTAAAAACAAAAGCAAAAAAAGGGGGGGGAGGGTGGCAAGCTGCGTCGTTTTGCAACCGGGCGCACCATCCTCATGGTGCGCCGGTTGCATGGTATAATTTGCGGGTCGTGAGAAGCCACTTAAAAATTGTAGGGGTGGTAATAAAAACTGAGTCTATACCGAATCGGACCGTAATTGTACTGAATCGTGTATCGGGTATTTAAAAAACTTTATAGTTTTTATCTCGATCTGAAATCGTGTTGTTTGAAACGAATACGTGATCAATCTTAGCTTTTGATAACCGAAAAATATTGGATCGAATTGTTCGAAAATAATGCATTTGAGATTTTTATATTATTTCCATTCCATTAAATATCTTTTAGACCAACAATGTTATAGCCAGAGTATATACTCATGCGTCTCTAAAACAGCTAAATGTGCTTGTACATATAAATGTTGTTATTTTTTCCCTTTTCGGTAAATTATGTTATATTTTAGTATATATTAAAAGTGTTAGTAGAAAATATCTCGGGTAGAGAAACTAGCAGCATTTCAGTATAGTAAATATAGCGTAGAGAATACAAGGGGGTGATGGCCTATTTATAGGCATCCATCACAAGTCCAAAGTCTAATCTACGTGGGCTTGGCCCAAATACATAATACATGTCCAAGCTAATGGGCGAACCGGCCCGATAAATAAGTAAATGAGCAAGGGGTGATTCCCGCTCGTGAGACTGCGTTTTGGGCCTAGTTGGGCCAAAGCTCGGGGATAACAGGCCGATGGCACTGGGCCTGGCATATTATCCCAACACGAGTCCCCCACTCCTTTAGTCGAGTAGTAGACTCGGCTAAAAGGGAGTACTTGAGCTGCTTTGAAATCGGCCTAGTTGCTAAGCTAGCTAGCTAGCTAGTTACACAGATGATTGATGATGATGACGATCTGTGGTGTGCCTGGAAAGGTTAGTCATGTAACCGTCTGTTGTGATCCCACAGTGTTGCACAAGGATGAGACCCTTCTTGTCTAGGTAGCATCCTGGGGTCCTGGTTATCTGGCCAGCTGACAGGTCTTCTTTGCTCCAACCGGGAAGACATCTTCCTTTGTTCATGATGAGGGGATGCCTCATTAAAACCTTACTAGGAAAAAACCCGGTGGGAAAAAATCCCAGTGAAGGAAAAAGAGTACACCGGTACCTCAAAATAAAACAGAGGAAGGTCAGTCTCGTCAGTTCTTGATTGAGCATCTGCTTTACTGGTAAGCCGAGATATGTTCCGGGAAGGCCAGTCGCTCGTCTGCTTTCCAGTGGTGGCGGTCGAGCCAATGCATGCTCGGGAGAGACCACCCGCATAACTGTTTGTCGATGATGCCGAGCTAAGGTATGCCCATGAGAGGCTGGTCACAAAGTTGCCCATTGATGATGCTGAGCCGAGGTATACTCGGGAGAGGGTAGTTTTATAACTATGCACATTGATCCCCGCTGCTTGTGAGAGGATATGGTTTCCTTCGCCTAGGTAGCAGTTTTAGGTCTTGTTTATCCGATTAGCCTCCCATGGTCTCGTTCTTCTGATCAGCAGCCTGGGGTCTTGTTTGTCTGATTAGTTGCAGCCCAGGGTCTTGCTCTGGTGGAGAGATCTCTTCTTTAAATGCACCCAAAATATAGATAAAGGGTAAGCTCTTAGGCCATTGTGTGCAGCTGCAAGTGTCGCCATCCGTCGAGGGGATAGCAAAGACCGGTCTTCACTTGTGAGCAGTGCTCACCTGATGTTCTCGAGATGGATGCAGTGAATAGTCCGCCATGATAAGTAGTCCCTGTTCATTGCTATTATTACCTGTTAAAGAAATGGCAGGTAAAAGAGGTGCTCTCGCTGCTTTAGCTGCAGTGCAAGATACTAAATTTTGGCCTTCAAAGTCAGATGAAGGTCTGTCTTAGGTAAGGAAGAAGCCCGGAGCTTCTCCGCCTGGTGCTGGGGAAAAGATAGAAGCTTCCCTGCTTTGTGAAGAGCGACTTTCCAAGAAGAGCAAATGTATGAACTGCTCCTTAGGTCGGGTAAGGGGAGATAACCCAACCGGTAGAATCCTCGCTTACGTTGTTTGTTTCCTCGCAGGTATGGTTGGTTGGACGGAGAAGCGCATTTGCTGCCCTGCCCTGACACCTTCATTTCCTCATAGGTATGGTAGGTCGGAGAAGTGCACTTGCTTCCCTTCCCTGACCTTCGTTTCCTCGTAGGCATGGATGGTCGGAGAAGCGCATTTGCTGCCTTGGATGCGACGAAAGATGCTAAGTCTCGACCTTTGACATTCGATGCAAGTCCATCTAATGTCGAAGAGAGGCACACAACTTCTCCACATGATGTCGGGGAGAAGCGTGCAACTTCCCTACATAATGTCAAGGAGATGCTTAGAGCTTCAATGTCTAATACCTGGGAGATGCACGCTCATTCCCTGCCTGATGTTGGGGAGAGGCACGCACCTTCCCTGCCTGATGCCGGAGGATGCTAAGAGTTTCTGTGCCTGATGTCCGGGGAGATTCCCAGCTTCTCCGACTGATGTCGGGTAGAAGCATGCACCTTCCCTGCCTAATGTCGGGAAGATGCTAATAGCTTCTTTACCTGATGCTGGGGAGAAGCACTCACCTTCCCAGGCTTGTGATGAAGAAATAGTCATCATCCCTGTGGACGGCGGGCTGGCCCGATTATAGAATCAAAATGATGACGTTTAGTCTGGTCGTGATGAATCCATAGCAGCGGTCATCATCCAAGTGAAGGGGAATGCGACCGGTCTTGAAATGAGAATGGTGGCACTAAGACGATCTTGACGAGGATGGCAATTCGTAGGCCGAGTGTGAAATCAAAGCAACGGTCATCATCTAAGTGAAGGAGGATCTGACCGGTCTTGAGAAAGGAATGATGGTGTTGAGCCGGTACTAACGTAGACGACGACTCATTGGCCAATCATGAATCTGAAGCAGTGGTCATTATCGTCATCCCGCCAATGTCAGATCAAGAGAGTTGTGCTTGGATGGCTCACTGATGCAGGTCAAGAAAGTGATGCAAGGCAAGAGAGTGATGTTAGATCCTTCCCGGTGATTTCAGAGTTTTGCAAGCTTTAGGCTCGAGGCCCAACCTTCGGAGCACATTCCAACGTCGGTGATGTAGTAGATGAGGTAATTATCATGTTCAAGGTCTCCCTAAACGTTTTCAGAGCTTGTCACTTCTTAGGTCGAGGACCGGCATCCGGAGTATGTCCACGCTTAGTTGCGCAGGATGCTAACCCCGACCTTCAATATCAGATGCAGGCCCGGTCAATGTTAGAGAGAAACGCAGGGCTTCTCCGTCTAGTGTTGTAATAAATGGTGCAGCTTCCCCGCCTCGTGAAGATAGAGTTGCCAGGAAGAGAAAGGGTATGAACTGCTTTTCAGGTCGGGTTAGGGAAGGCAATCCTACCCGTACAGCTCCAGCTTACTTCGCTTGTTTTCTTGCAGGTATAGCCGGTTGGGAGAATCATGCAGCTTCCCTTCCTGATGCCGGGGAGAAGCATGCAGCTTCCCTGCTTCATAAAGTACCACCTTGTTCGTTTCTTTGCAGATGTGCCAGGTTGGAGAAGCGAATTTCTTGCCTTGGCTGCAAAGAGAGATGCTAAACCATTCTCCATGTCATCTGATCTTTTTCCCTGCAGGGACTGACGGATCCGGCCGCATTGCTCCATGCTATGAAAGATCAGCATACGGAGCTCCAGCGTCAAGCTGATTAAGCCCATCTTCAGGCTACCCAGGCTCGACAACATGCAGATGGAGCGGAGGCAGCCTTGAGGATACTTTTCGTATGCAATGAAGAGGATAAGAGAGCCATGATCGATCTCCAATCAAAGTGTGACCAGCTGAAGTCGAGTATAACCAAGTAGAAGCGTCATTTGCGGATGCAGCGCAATAAGCAATTGCGGTGCTCAAAGCTTCTCAGGAGTTCTCCGAGCTTCTTGCTTCCCGGACTAAGGATGTGGGTCACCAAGCATCCCATAAATTCAAGAAGCTTATTTCTTCCCAGACGTATGCTCTCTATGCAGAGCAAGTTCACGATTGGCTTCAGACCAAAGAGGGTTGTAATTGGCACAAAAAGTTGTCTTGTTCTCTTTTAGTTGTGGCCGGCATGATACGTAGACTAGTCGTGATGGGCGGAGAAGATGGGCAATGTTGATGTCGAACTTGTTCTCCGTGATTGATTTATCACTTGAGTTTGTAGGTATGCATCGTTCGCTC